ATGCAAACCACTCAAAGTGATTACCATAACAAATAACACGTGCAAATCCATCCATTTTACAGTCTGGTGCCAATCGCTCATGGCTGTATGAGCACGTACGTACTTTATGGTATTTGAAGAGCAAAAGACCTGATCTAGGAAGTACCATCGTTGAGAATTAATTCACACATTGTGATCGAATCGTCATATGGCTGTCGCCCCTGAAAGCAGACTCCATATATCATCCAAACACGGTATCATTTAATGTTTAAATTAATATTATCTTTCATTCATAAGCATGAAGGGAAGAATGTGAAAATTTAAAAATGGTTATTGTACCAACTTTCTCAGATCTTGGAATGAAATTGCTTTGCAAATATTGCTCACTGAGTATCATTAATATCTTTTGCTCTTTTTCGGCCCAAAATAATGGTCGCTCTGGTTTATGCGATAACGGAAAGTTTTCATGCCTTCTTACGATGTAACATTCTGTTCGATCTCCACTGGTTGGTAGGAAACAGAATTTCGGATCGTACCTCATGCACTTTCCTCAATGCCAAACAAGAGGAGATCGATTGTGATTGAATGTGGGCAGCTACGAGCATATGTCGAGCCTTGTCATATCTTGCAGTTTCACATTCAAGTCTTTTCAAGGAATAAATGCCCGCCTTTCGGATTCAAGCAACCTACCTGCTGCAGATGACCTCCGTAGCAACTGTAAGCTACCAGGCCTTTTAGCCTGAGCAATCAATCACAATTCAAAACAAAACGTGTATGATGCCATGCATAATGGAATCGTTTCTTTCCAATGTTTTTTTTCAACGATGATCTAAAACAAATGTTAGCCGTAACATACCCTATAGAGTGCAGCAAAAGTTTTCCCTAAAGCTTCAGCACCTCAAAAAGTCCTCGCGCCACAAGCCCTCTATATTCCACCGGCATGTGTGACTGCATGTTACTCTACCTTTTACTAAATTTCGTGGACGAGTCACATACATACGAATATATGCCCAAACAATTTTTAGAAAATCACCAATAGTGCTAATATCACATTCTTTAGCAGACCGTTGTAAAGTTACAAGTGAATCATTGTATAACCTACAATGAAGATCTTATCCACAGGTGAAGAAATCACAAAAAATAAACATGAGGTCTTGTGGATGACGATTGGTCACTGGATTTCACTATGCGGAATGTTTTCGCAAGAAATACTGAAATTTACTTTTATAGATTTTTTGGAGAATATCACTTTGGCGAAAGAGCGGTCATCTGTCAAATTTCCCACCGAGCATGATCTTGAAGGAGCGGCAGTCGCCCTGCTATGTCTCCAAGACACGTGCCAACTGAACACTCGCGAAATGGCTGAGGGTCTCATTCCTAACGCCCCACTGGAACAGAATATGACAGGTATATATGCTTTGGTCACGGTTTCATATGGGAAGCAGCCAACGCCATTTATGTGCGCACATTTGATTTTTGGCATACTAACTTAAACATGGTTTCAACTCATCACTGCTATATGATTGCCACAATAGCTTTCGGGAACAAGGACTACTACCACGCCCTGATGTGGATACTAGAAGCGCTGGATCGCTGCGAACGGAAATTCTGCCATCCACAAACATCAGCGATGTCCTAGAAATTTTGGCGCACTCCCAGTACTATCAGGGAAACGTGAAGCATGCCTTACGGACGAATCGTCTTCTGCTGCTGCAGCCGAATCATACCGTAGCGGCAGACAACATAAAATTATACGAGAACATCCTGGGTAAGACTGAACAGATATCAAAGAATTCTGCTTTGCCACCACTTAGCAACACACGGGATAGAAACACACCTGAAATGGACAAATATGAATTCTTATGTCGTTCGGAAAGCCCGATGGTAGACATTTTTGAATTCTGTTCAAGTACTGTTGCATTTCGATTTAGAACCCAACAGTTGCCAAAGACTTGTACTGTTACCTGGTGTGATCGACCATACCTAAAATTCGCGCCATTCAAAGTAGAAGTTTTAGCTCAAGTACCGAAGATTGTGCTTTTCAGACAGGTCGTATCAAATGACGAAATCGCTATTCTCACGGATCTGGCGAAACCGCTCGTAATTGTTTTATTTTCTGATATTTTGCAAATTAATTAATGGTAATTAATTTCATGGCTAAGATCAGGATTAGATTATTGACCAAAACTTCACAACTCAGATGAACGGAATAGTTGGTCATGTATTAACGAGTAAAGAGGTTCTTTCTTCCCTTCGTTTCATGGAATAGCCGGATTTTAAATGCAAGTAACAAAATTAAAGCGCCATAATATCTTTATCCGCAATGCTTGGGTACTTGTTTATAAGATCTTCAGGTAAATGGATGCATCCTGACGGAAATAAAGCATAGCACTTTTTCAGATACTAGATTCTGTTAATCACAATTGTCACTGCTTGTATGTGTTGTTATAATGACGATGGAATCATCACGCTATTGTTGAAAGAGTTATTTATTACAACAAACGCATGCAGAAGTTTTCTTGCGTTTCGGATCAAATTGCGTGCTTCCTCGGGGTACATCTTCATTAGAAATCTACGACTCAATAAAAAAAATTATCGAAGCAAGCGAATAGGCGGCTTAATCAACTGCAAGCACCAGAGAAACCGAAATGAGACAGGTTATGAGAAAGCGATTTTGAGATTCCGCTGAATGCCAAAGCTCTGGAACCTGTTCGAAGATTTAATTACCTTGATACAGTTAACAGCTGAGGGCTTTCTTCCAGTTATGCAAGTAGCTTTTATACGATATCAAGGTATAGATAAAACAAATTGACTTGTATCCCTTCAGGCGGGATTGAAAAGCTACAACTTATGGCAGTCATTCCAGAGCATCTGTGTTATCTTCTGTGTAAAATGTATTTTCGGTAATGAGCTAGTAATTCATAAAGAAAATATTGTTCCACCATATGAATACATCACTCAGCAATGAATCATCTATCTACAATTTTATCGCTGTGGCCTGATGGTTTTTGATAATTCGATGACAACCTGAAAATCCTCAAAAAAACTGTAAAAGTTGCTTCTTAAACCGTGCAACTCAGCAGATTAAAACCATTCACTAGGAATGTACGTTTGTTGAAGCGCCATGTGGTTTTGTCCTAATAGTGCATTTTTAAAGATTCTTTTTTTGAGGAAAATGTTGTATATTTGATTTTTAGCTACAGCGAGCACTGGTGATCAACCGTGAATCCGGGAAGTTAGAAACTACTGACTTCCGAGTGGCCAAAACGTAAGAAACCAACGTTTACACATTTTACAATGAGCCCTAACCCAGCCTAAAGTTAAGACAGCATTTCAAAAAAAAGGAAGTGTAGAAGTGTGTTCATTTTTTTCACATGCTGGCGACGAAGTCTCGCCAGACCCGGGCATTATGTGCCAAACTAATAATCTACACAGAATATGCAACACTGAATGCAGGCGTGACGTATTGATGAAAATGTCCATACACAGGGAAACGACTTTGCGGTTGCCATTTACACAAAAGCACAGGAATTTACTGTTGGCGTATCGACTTCGCGTGTGACCTGGCAAACAAAGTAAATGATTTATTTTCTGCCAACATAAATTTATTGTTTAATTCGTAGCTTATTCTTAAGATACAAACTCGTTGCTCCTGGCAAACTGTTTTATCGCAGAGCAATATGCAGCATTCCTTCCCTCCTTCATTCATTTGTTCATTCATTCGTTCATTCAGTCACATGTTCATTAGTGGATTCATCATCATCTTCATCTTCATCTTCCATCGCCGCTTCTCCTTTCGGGTCGCGGAGGCAGACGCGTCAG